GGAAATGGCCACAATGCAACGAAATCAAAGCCAAGGAACAAGCGCAACGCATTCTCTTGACGCCAGGCAGTCGCAGTCGCAGTCCGAGTAGCAGTCGCAGTCGCCATTGCCATCGGTCAGACCCTGGCCAAAATGTCCAGCCGCGCCAACTGTTGCTGCTGTTGCCCCTGTGCCTTATTGTTTGAGCAACAGCAGCAGCACAAGCCTTAGGCCTTGATGCCTTTGCCATACTTCTCCCACTATTTGACTGCGCTGGCCCGCCATCGTCTGTGGCTGCCACAAAAAGTGTCGTGACCCCGGACGGGCCGAGCCAGGCATTGCATATGGTTAACCGAGTCTGACTCTCAGTTGGCTCCCAAGGAGTAGGGGGCCACGGGCGGCATGTCTGGGTTGTCTGGGCTGGAGCTCAAAAATTACATGTTGTTCCTGTTGAAATGTTTTGTGTTTTGTGTGTGCAGCATTTCCATTGTCGTCGACGTTTATTTCTAAAATCTTTTTGTTGTTTTTTTTTCGGTTTTTTTTAATACCCTGGCAGTGGCATAAAAAACTTTGTCATTCAGTACATGATAAGAAATATACCTTGTAATTGGCTAACAGATGGCTTATGAGATGCCCTATGTGAAGCGCCTTTTAAAAAATTCTATATGAAACATGAGGGAGAGCCAAATATTTTTCATATTTAAAATGTGTAAAGAAAATTGAATGTTAATTCTATGCATATATACATTAAAATAATTAACTATTTCAATAATCTTAGATTATCTCCATTTATATTTTGATTAGGGTATATTTTTTCGATCATCTACCTTTAGTGACTAATAATACATATACACATACATATTTGGGTCTGAGGCGAATATGTAACAATTCTCCGTGCTCCTGGCGGTCAAAGGAGTCGTCGTCGTCGTCGTTTACGCTTACATAAGGTCTGGGCTAGGACAAAGGAAATGCAAAAATGCCAAAAAATCGCACAACTCAAAATCCAATGCGAATGTGAATGCTAGTACGAGTAGGACATTGAGTTCGAGTACGAGTATGAGTATGAGTACGAATACGAGCAGGAGCACTCTCGCACACAAAACGATTCTGGCACCCATGAGCAGGAGCATCAACAGCATCAGTTGCGGTTGCAGTTGCAGTTGCAGTTGGCTGGGCGGGTGGTGGCTCGTCGCTGATCGTGGCACATTTGCATACAATGAGGCCACAACTGAGACCTAATCCAGCCAGTCAGCCAGCCAGCCATACAGCCAGCCAACACACACACTCGATGGCGCAGCATGTTATCTCTGGCTGTGACCTACACCAATATTTCTGAGAATGCTGCTGTGGCCCGTCGTCGCCTGTAAGTGTGTCGTCGTTGTCTCCGTCTTAGTCGTCGTCGTCCAGTCCAGTCCAAGTCCATAGCCAGTCAGTATCTCAGACGGCCGACGACGAGGAGTCATTCAATCGCGCCAGCTGCGGCGTCTGCGTTGCCAGCGTTTCGTTCCGTTTAGTTTGGGATTTTTATTTGGTTTCGTTTCGATTTGTTTTGTTTGCTTTGCTGTGCCTCGCTTTTGCCTGGGCATTCTACTTACAATATTTGTGGGATATCACCGCAGATCTCGGCAACTGCAACCCGAAAACAAAATAAAGGAGCCTTTGCCTGCTGCTGCTGCTGCTGCTGCTGCTGCTGTGTGTGAATTTCCACTCTGTCTGGCGTCTGTTCTGCGTCAGCAGCTTCAGCATCGTCACCATGGAGTGGTACGAGTAGTTTGAAATGGAAAATGTCTATGAGCTGGTCGCAGCTAGGCGCTATTTCCTTGACTGTTTGGGGAGTGGCATTTAGTTTTTTTTTTTTTTGAGGAAAGCATTTGGGCAGCGAGTTGCGCTTTCGGTGGCTGGTTCAGAGTGCAATGCATTTAATGGAAACTTAAAATCATGACATTTACCATAAAGTCTTGAGCTAGAGTCTAAGTCGAAGACGTATCATAAATTTTGAAAATCGCCTTGAGCGCACATAAACGGCAAACAATGAGAATCATTTGTACATGTGATTTGACATCTCGATGAGCTTTTGCTGGCTATATCAGTTGATTGTGATTATCACGATCAGTCATAAATCAATTAGATTTCCTATTTAGGTAAATAGGGCTCTGACAGTATCTATTATTTCACAATACTTGATCTGTTGGCATTGCAATTAAAGGCATGCATATTCTATGTGAAGTTTATCAACTAATTAAATATTAAAAAACGTAATACATTTTTGAGACCTGATTGGTTACTGGTTTCGGTTAAATTCTTTAATTTAATATTTGATTCAACAAATTCAGTTTAAGATATGAACAGAAATAGAGTAAACACATATTTTTAGACTTTCGTATTTATCTTGAAATTATTGGTATTAATAATAAAACCGATCACAGATATGATATATATATATAATATACAATTTCTTTTAAATAAAACGCACGTTTTTTTTATACCCACATGCCAGCCGATGTCAATAAAAAATCAATATTTTTTTTTCGTTTTATCTTCTTTTAATTTTCAACTCAAAATACTTTTGTTTGTTTATTGTATAAAGCAAAAGCAAAAGGCATACAGGTAATAAATATGGTTTATAAATAACTTTTCATAAATAAAATAATTAACCTAATTTGTCTAGCAGAGAAATACAATTACACATACATATACATATAAACAAATTACAAATACCGCTGTGAAAAATACTCATAAAAATGTTCATAAAAAAATGCCATTTAAAATACACAAAAATGGCTTACAACTAATAGAGCTCTTCTGCTTATCCAGGTGCTTATCGTAAAACTAATTTGCAAGCTTTTTATATACCTATACTGTTATTATATTTTCAATGCTTAAGCACTAAACGAAATTGCACAGAAAACATGGTTACATGAGCATTTGGTGCTCAAATCATTTAGTTAGTTGATAGTGTTCAAAAATAATGCTTATAAACGATTGTTATAGCTGTCAATGCATATTGCTATTGTTACTATTCTGTGTGTGTGTGTTTTCATTTTGCTTAGAGTTAGATAAAAATAATTTAAACGCTAAGATGACAAGTGGCAATTAATTTAAGTGTGATTATCACCTGCCCGTTGCACGCCGAGCCGCGCTGGGTATTTCCGAGTTTTGCATAATGCGCAGGTCACTAATTTTTTGGATCTGAATTGAGTTGATTAAGAAAAAAGAAAACATATTCATATACATATATATACTATATATATCAGAGAGGGCACATAAGCGTGTCGTTAAGCTAGCGGAAGCGCCAATTCCTAATGTTTAGAATATTCAACATTTTCATTTATTTATTTTTCAAATTTTCTTTTTTTTTGTGTATTTGTTACTGTTTTTATACCCTGATCCCATTAAAAATGGGAAATCAGGGTATAATGGTTTTGTGCAAATGTATGTAACAGGCAGAAGGAGGCGTGGCAGACCCCATAAAGTATATATATTCTTGATCAGGACGACAAGCCGAGTCGATTGAGCCCTGTCCGTCTGTCTGTCTGTCCGTCTGTCCGTCTGTCCGTCTGTCCGTCTGTCCGTCTGTCCGTATGTGTGAACGCGTGGATCTCAGCATCTATAAGAGCTAGAGACTTGAAATTTTTTTTGTAGGTCCGTGTATAGCACGCGCAGGTCAAGTTTGTTTCAAATATTCGATAACTATTCGCATTTAATTGTTATCGAATAAAAACATTATTGAAATGCAGTAAATAAATTATATCTCGAACGTCTTAAGAGCTAGAGCCTCCAAATTTTGTATTTAGTGTTATGTATATTTTATGCAATTTTGATTTTTGTTGGATTTTGGATACCGGCTCCAAATTCCCCCAAATTCTTAGAATTTAAGTTTAGTTGGAACTAGGGCCATTATGTGAAGGCGTTTGCATCTCAACCAAGCCAATAGGATATGTAGATCATATGCTGAAAATTTCATTAAAATCCATTAAGTAAAACAGAAGTTATTAAACAAAACGTTTGGCCAATTTGCAAAAGCACATGTCAGCAGCGCCACGCGCACGCATTTTTCCTATGCGTGTGCACACATACATTCAAATGCGTGTATACTTTTCTATTCCAAGAATTGAAATTGCGATTGAATTGTGCTGAATTATTAGCTGCTACTTATGTTCAAATTTGCAACAGCTCGCGTAAGAAGGGCAGTGGCTGCGTTGGTAGAGGCACCTCTCGGATGCAGCTTGGTCCGGGTTCGAGACCAGAGGAGATGAAATGTTTTTTATTGTTTTATATTATTTATTTATTTTTTTTTTTTAGTTATGAAGTGGCGGTGTTGGTAGAGTTTGTGCACGTTGCGCAAATAATCCGGGTTCGAATCCTGGTCTCGCAATGTCGATTTTTATTTGTTTTCTTTTTTTTTTAATACTCGATACAAACTACGGAAAATATTACAAAACTCAAAGGACTGGGATCAGGGTATCTCCTAGTCGGGCACCCCGACTAGAGCTTTCTTACTTGTTTTTTTTTGTTTTTAAGATTTTTTTCAATTAACAGTTAGTCGCCAATTGGGCACTGATTGAAACGTGCCAATCAAATTGTACTAACCTCTATCCTCGACCGGTTCGGCGGCATCCGCTCGACCCGTGCCCACCAACGTTTCGGCGGCAAGTTCTACACGCGCCACGTGAACACCATGAAGCAAGTGCTGAGCATGTTGCTGCTGCTGCTGTTGTTGGTGTTGGTGTTGGTGTTGGTGTTGCTGCTGGTGTTGGTGTTGCTGCTGCTGTTGTTGGTGTTGATGTTGCTGATGTTGCTGCTGTGCCGCTGCCAGATGCTGTGACAGGTGCTGATGATGGTCGCCTGTAGCTGGCGGCCACTGTTGATAAGCAACTGGCACCAAAGGATCGGACATCCATTCAAAGCTGAAGGCAGGTCCAATCGTTTGGGCGCTAAGGCCGCCATGATGGGGCGTGGCACTGGTGGGTGTGGGCGGTGTGGTTGTGATGCAGGGACTGAGCTCATGAGAGGAACCAAAGCTATCCAGCGATGCCTTCTGTGCCGACTCTGACCAGGGCGGGCTGGGATTCCATTGTTCAATAAAATCCGCCGGATCTGGCGGAAGCGTCTTGTTCAGCAAACGCGGACGTGTTGGCACAATGGTTGCATAAATAACCGAAGCGGTGGCATCACTGCTGCTGGCCGCCACTCCAGCTGCGGCCGTGGCATAGGCTGCACCCGGATGCAGCGCATAACAGTCCGGTTCGGGCGTAATGGCCGCCGCCGGCGAACGCTCAGCGTGCAAATAAAGTGGCTCTAGTTTATTCCGCGCCCGTTTCTTGGGGGGCGGCGGCGAGGCGGACTGTGTGGACTTTTGACTGCCGCCAGTGGACGTGCCATTCACTTGGCTATAGTCTACAGGCTCCAGCCCGTTTCCGCTGCCCGGCTGAAAGCCATACAGTTGCTGATCCTCCTTGAGCTCGACTGCACCCTCGGCATGGTAAACGCCTCCATAGGTGGCGCCCATGTGCGGATGATGGTGATGGTAGGATGCAGCTGCCGCTGTATGATGGTGATGATGATGCGCATGATGGCTGCCAAATACACTCGACATGCCCGTCGCAGAGCTGGCCATGCCCAGGCCAACACTAGCGGCGCCGCCTCCATGCGGTTGCTGATGGGAGTTGTAGTAGCCACCGGAGTTACTGCCCGGCGGCACACGCATCGCACTATCCAGTGGCATGCCAAATTGTATCTTCGACTGTACCGTGTAATAGTGATAGAGCCACGAGTTGGCCAGCATTATGGTAGCCTCACGATCACTGAGAAGATTGTCGCCGTTAGCTAGAGATCAACTTTGGTTGTGAGGCGTTACTTACTTCAGCACCTGGTTGGTGCACACAATGACAGGTTGCTGTGTTGAGTCAGGACTATCTCGCACCTGGAGCACCACATGCACCCAGGTGTACTCGCCGCTAGAGCGCTGCATGCGAACCAGCAGTATACAGCTGCGATCCTGTTCCGATTGCGTTACTATAAAATTTGGAATATTTTTGTTAAGGAAAGTTGAACGGGTCTCGGCAATAACATTATGAAATGTATTTTATTATTGGTTTTTTATATATTTCTTCCTTTTACTATTTGGATTTTATTTATAAATCATGGAACTATTAGATACATTTTTTAGGCAGTGCTTTGAAATGTTTCAGAAATAATCCAACTAAAATTCGAGCTTAAGTTTTTTTAAAACATGTCATAAAAATTAATTTTTTACTGCAGGTCCTAATTAAAAAAAGATCCGAATTATGCAAAAAATTTGAACGCATAGAGCTAAAAACTTTTTCAAAACGATAGGAATGTGAAAAAAAAAAACATGAAAATAATTCAAATTTGCTGGCGTCTAGTGAAAAAATAACATGTGCTCATTATATTTTTAATAACAGCTAATGAAGTGAAAATATATATATATATATAATAGATAAGAAAATGACTTCTAGCTGAGATACTGCAGAAATACATTACGTTTATTATTTTTTCTATAATTTAAATTTTAAAAACATTTTGCTATCATATCATATATATCATAATTTTTGTAATCCGTTTCATCATTTAATTTTCAATTTGATTTTCGAGATATGTTGTCATTTTATATATTTGGTATTCGTCAAGTATTTTACCATTTTATGTAATAAATTATTTGATCATAAATATTTTTGTAACTTACTTAGCCGGTGTTTGCTTTGAGCTTCGCGCAGATTCTCGCTGTGTATCAGATTGTACCAGGAGGTGCCCTGCAGCGCCGCCTTTTCGTAGCCCAAGTGGAATTCGCCACTGCAAAGTGCATAAATAGTTAACATAAACAGAGAGTGCATTATAAATGAGCTTTCGATTGGTTTATTAGCCACGTAACGAGCCAACTTACTTTTTGTCGATGTGTGCGATTTTCATATCCATGGAGTGTATGGTGGTAAACACATTGGTGGCGCCCTGCACCACACACTCGCGTGTCTCCGGCATGGCGATGGGTGTGCAGGTGGCTAAAAAGACGGGCTCGTTCCGACTGCAGAGCGGCAGGAATGACAAATAGTGACCCTGCACCAGAACGACCTGCAAGTACAGACAGAAACGGCGGCTGAGACTATAGCTTGGACTCGCTTCGATATTGTTGCTGTTGTTGTTGGGTTTTTTGAGGCGGCGGCTCCCACGAAAATTGGCGCGCACGTTGTCGCCGCTAGTTGTGGCCATTTTTGGGCTGGCATGCTTCGGGTCTCATAGACATTTTACTCTGATTCCATAATTTAAAAAAGGCAATCACTGAAATGTTTTTTTTTTCAGCATACGCAAGCCGGACGCCATAGTCGCAGTCGCACACAGTTGGAGCTGCCTCCACTCAGCACACACACACACACACATTCAGACACGCCAGGTAGTCTCAATGGAAGTCTCAGTCGGAGTCCCAGCCATTGTCTCCCAATTAAAACGTGCCTGCATTTAGTTTTCCATTGCAATTGCATTTCGTAGCTTATGGCCGCGTCTTCTGCTTAAATGCAAATGCAGCCCGAATCCGAATCCGATTCCGCTGCCGAAACCGATCCCAGCCCATCGATGACGCAGACGCCGTTTGCTGTTGTTGCTGGTTTGGTAAATGAGACGACCTTAGACTGGGGAGCAGGCGCCACAGCCACAGCGCTGTCGCCATCGTCTACTCTTGTTGTTGCTATAGCTGGAGGTTTTTATTTTTGGTCTTTTGTCTATCGTTTTTTTCTTTTTCTTTTTGCTTGGGTACTAGCACTGAACTATGCTGACCTCATTCATAATTATTTATTGGTCCATTTTTATTGCATATTAACGAGTGCCGGGTGAATGTGCCGCATTTTCTCGTTTGCGCTCTGGGTTATCGCTGCCAGTTCATGTGGGTCCAAATCCCTGGCGACAGTCTACATAAATGCTAAGCTCTAAACATTTAGTAATAAGTATCCCAACTAGTTTTCCGATATGCAAATAGGCATCCACAAGCCCCTATAACTTCCGCTTCTTCATTTTTTATTCAACTCAGCGACTCCGAGCTATGATTCAGCGTGTGAACCCAATGAGTAATACAGCCTAAAACTTTATTACATCATTTAGATATCAATGCACTTTGATGTATTTTAGAGTTGTTTCTAAATGCATTTGCCAATATATAAATAAGCTCTTCAGCACCAGCTCATTATAATTCTCTAAAATAAATAATCCAATATCTAAGTCACACCTAAAGCTAAAAAATTTTATTTTTAGCTTGATGAATTGGATTGCCCAACTGCTATTAATATTAATTCAAGATAAATATCTCGCTAAATTGGCTAACATTTGAGTCTTACTATCACCTCTGTCTCTGACATTTCTGTCAGCCTTCAGGTAGTGTCATTGCAAGCATATCCTGCGACCTGGATTACTTGTTGCTTATCTTTATTTGGCTGTTACATCTTCAAGTTTTTCTAAGAGCCTACACACAAACTGAATGCTTGTGGGGGTACAAGTGGTGTCATAAGCTGCAGCTGAGAAAATATTATATATATATATATATATATATATATATATATATATATATATATATAAACGTAAGATGCAGCAGCACTTCCTGCACCTCATTAAAGTGCCAACTTTCAACTTAATTAAAAACGTTTGCAGCAACTGTCAACGCCTCGGTTTATCTCCATAACTCGCAGCGCACATCTGCGCACTTCACAACAACAAAAATGGCAAAAAAAAAATATAAGATATGCATAAAAGACCAGCGACCGCCCACAAGATTGTGAGTGCGCTCCATACAGTAGCATTCACATCATTTCAACGCGTCTTCGTCGCGTCTCGGACTCGCTCGCAACACGTTGACAGATTTGGTCTTGTCTGGTTCAACCTGCCTCTCTGCCAGCCTGACTGACTGCCTGCCTGCCGGGCTGCCTGAATGCTTGCCTGCTGAGCCAAGTACTTGGCTGACTGGCTGACAACTTCATATTGTGCTCGCATTCATTTATATTGTTGCGGCTTTTTTGTTTTCTCACATCATCATCATCATCGTCATGATCATCAGAAGAGGCGGCCAATCAGAGCAGTCAACAACAACGCGGCACCCACCCGTTTCACATCAACTGTCATCGTTTGTCAGCTTATAGTAAAGCGTATGTCTGTCTGAGTGTCTGGCCGGCTAGCTGGCTGGCAGGCAGGCAGGCAGGCAGTCAAGACGTATGACCAGCCCCAGTCTGGGCAGCCGGTTGGCAGACGACGCATGCGCGCCCGGCTCATGCATAATTCATTGCGTCGCTGTTACAGTGACTATAGCTGTGACTCTGACTGCAGGCTTTCGACTCTCTGGTATCCAAGTGTTACACGCAACACGCTCCCAGGTGATTCATTCATCAATTTCTGTCAGAGACTACACACGCTTACTCACACACACACACACACACATATATGCAACTGTGTGTATGTGTGTTGCACTTACCTTCTGATCACCGAAACGCATTTGCCGTCGCGCATTGCGACTAACATTCATGCGACAGAGAAACATGCGATGCTCCCCCTCCAAACTGGAGGCGCCGCCAGTGCCATTGCTGGCTGTCGAATCGCCAACACCAACGCCGACGCCAACGCCGCTGCTGCTGCTGTTGCTGCCACCTGGCTGCGGTGGCACGTTCCGATTTAGTTCGGCTTGTATGGTTGCGTGATCCTGTTTGTCAATGATATCGTAAACGGAGTCCCCATGTATAAGTAAATCCTCCTGCGAAAAGCAAATGTGATAAGCATATGGCATTACACGTTATGATAATAAATTAGAATAATATTCCAGCCTTGTATTAAATACAATGTAAAATATTTTTATAATATTTATAACTTAGTTTATTGGAAAAAATATATTAAGCTATGAAATATTAAAAAATATTGATTTTGTTTATTTATATAACACATATCATAAGTGTGTTATATTTTTTATTAAAAAAATGATTATTTATAATTTTTATTCCATCAACTTTTTTTAAAATTATTATGTGAAATAATTTTTAAAAAATTTAATATTTCTTAAATATAAAAAATAAATTTTATTTATATGTTTTCCAATATCTAAGTTTCCTTGATGATTATAAAAATATTTTATTATTATATAATATTTTATTCTATTCTTTTTAATCAAAAATGTTTGAATCTGAAAAAACTGTATAGCAAATAATTGAATTTCAATTAAAAACTAATTTAAAAAGACTTCGATATATTAGCAGATAAAAGCTTTTAAGTGACATTATATGTAATAGCTATCTAGTGGGATGACAAATTTAATTTGTTAATGATGTGTCCGTTAGTGCTCGGTCAAGTCGGCTCTGGGGCTCGAATGTGCTTTTGTTATTGTTGACAATTATGGGCAGCATTGAATGAGCGTTAGACCAAGCGATCGGGCAATATACAATGCCATGTTGTTGCATTTGTAATTTATTTATGGCTGCTGTCGCTACATGACACATGACAATGGCAACTTGTTATGGCAATATGCAAAAATCGAATTGGAATTATGATGCCCAAGCAACAGCAGCAGCAACAACAACAACAGCAGCAGCTACAGCTACAACAACAAGGCCTTCATTGACATTTTTGGCAGTTTGTTAATTAACTTTGCTTGTTGTTGTTGCAGTGTTGCAGTGGCTGCTACTGTCGCTTTGGCCGTTAACTAACTGTGAGGCTGGCCTGCTGCCTGCCACAAATTAAAAGGTTGGGCAATCCACTTTTGGGCCCGCTCATGTGCACAGTTATTGTGCCGTAATTATGCCAACACATGGCATACGAACAATTTATGAACTCGCTTGACCATTTAGCTGCTATTGTTGTGGGTGTCCCCTGATAAGGCCTGGCCCAAAGGCCAAAGGCTGTCAAGTGTCTTGCTAGCCAATTGGCCTGCCAGCTTCTCGCTGTCTCTCTCCCTCTCTCTCTCTCTCTGTGGGTACGTGTGTGGGCCTACAGCGCTACACTGCTACACTCGCCTTGACAGGCCTTAAAATGTAGGCCCAAATATTGGTCTCCATGTCTGCTCGATATGAAAGTTAGTCTCAGTCGCAGGCAATAGTCAACCAGTTGCCGGAAAACTACTGTAACTTGAGTTTGGCATTTGCTAGCAAAAGGCTACTTTATAGTGGTTTTTAAAAACCAATCAACAACTGCAAAAATGTAGAATGCGATAATTGAAATGCCAATCCATAGTCCTGATTAAAATGATTAAAAAGTATCGATTTTTGAAACGATTCTAACTGACAGATGAGTGCTAAAGACATAATATTAATTAGCTATATTTGAAGAACTGATTTAAGCCAGGCGAGCGATGTATTTTTTGAAAATGGAAAATTGAAAATCGGAATAAAAAAATACTCAAGTTAAGGTGCCTGTCACATTAGCATTTAAGCTTAAGTAAATATTTATATAGAATGTGTTTTCTTATATATTTAAGCATTCAAGTCTCTGGCATCAACTGAAACACTTGCATTTATGAAGACAGACAGACGGGCAGTGCATCCAGCCAATATACTCAATTCACTTTGTGAACGAGTGCAACTATATGAACAATCGATATATCTAATTTAACTGAGCACAACTAGGACAGCATGGATTATGATTTATTGGCAAAATGCTTCGATTTCTCACAAGTTTTTGACAGTTGCTGCAGTTGCAGTGCAGTAAAACTCATACGCCCCCTGTGCCGATCGGAGCTGGAGAGTTGCAGCAGCCGGCAAGGCACATCAACATTCAACAATCTCTCGGCATGTGTCTGTATGTACTCACATGTATATATTTACATATATACGAATCAGAGTTGGTAACAGTACCTTTGTCAATGTCTAGCTGTTTGTTTTAGATGAATAAGTAACTGCGCTTGCGCTCGCGCTCGCACTTGTATTGGTATGTAGAACGGAGATATGTCACATGTGCTGCATGCGAGTGCATTTATATATGCGGCACAGGCACATATATTTATTTAGCTTTAGTACTTCAAATGCAAAGTGAAAGGCCACGATGTATAACCTTGCTATTTAAGCAGCGTAAACGTGCGATAAACAAAACTTGAAACAACCACAACAGCAACTAAAACAGCAGCAGCAGCAGCAGTAACAAAGTTGAGCTGTTTGCAACAGATTTAAGGAACTTTTGTGTAGTACAAGCAACAGATTTATGTAAGCTCAATGAATCGAGTCTCTGGCAGTCAGTTGTTGCTGACTTGTCAACGGGAGCAGCAGCCAACCACCAAAGCAGCAAACCACCAAACCACCAACCCACCAAACGAGCAACATAAAAAGTGCAGCAAATATTTGTTGTTGCTGGGTCGACAACGATGTTGCTGTTGCTGTTGCTGTTGTTGTTCTTGTTGTTGTCGTCGTTGCCTGTTGTCGCTTGTCAGAGATTTGTATCAACGGCTGTAGCAATTTTAGCCAAAAACTTTCATAGACTGCGCTTTTCTAATTATTCGCGCAAATCGTTTTTGTTAGCCCAAAAAGCGAAATGAAAAATTGAAGAAGAAGACAAGAAAATATCAACTTACCATCGAATGTCCCAGGTACTCGGCAGCATTATCCGATATATAGAGCAATTTGCCATTTTGTGTGAGCATCATGAGAAAGCCCGAAAGTGCCTGCAAAACAAATGACAAATGTTGTTAAGCTATATGGACGTAAAGGGTGTTTGTCGATACAAGAAAATACCTTAAGAAAAGTTCCTTAGTATTTAAAATAATAATAATAATAATAATAATAATATGACATTTCTGCATGATTTTTTACATTTTTAATAAATAATTGACTAATTATTTGCTTAGAATCTGAAAATGCTCATATATTCAAAAAGTGCTTCTGCAAATATACATATATATATATATATATATATGGATATATATCCAATGGCTTTATAGTCTGATCTGTTTGTTGGACAAATAAAATCGAAGCATGATTTGTGAAAGAAACACCCTCTATTAGGCTGCCCAACAATTGTGTTGAAAATGCAAATTCATTTTCGCGTCTGCGCACTAATAAATTGTTAGCCCAAAGAAGTTGGCTGACGTTGACAACTGAAAATTGACTGTGCTTGCTATCAACACATGCACACACATATACTTATATATATATATATATATATATATATATATATATATATATATATATATATATATATATATATATGTGTGTATATGTATTAAATTCAGTCACGAGTGCGCACAGGTATGTAGATCAATCTGCCGACCATCGCCGAGTCACAGCAGCCAGTGGCAGCCAGCTTGACTGACTACTGACTACTGTCTGCTCTGTTGTCTCTTTTTATTTTTTTCATTTTGTTTTTGGCTAAGAGCAGCATTTATTGTTTTCTTTTCCGTTTGCCTGTTGTCGCTGCTCTGTGTGTTTTTTTTTTTTGGCGCAGCAAGTGGCGGCGGCTAAATGATTTCTGGCTTATGATATGGCACAGAGGCTGCCATTAATAGAGTTGTTTTCCCTGGAACTTTCGGCTCACTAGTTGAGTTGTCAACGCGCCTCACTTAAATTGAGTTGTTTCCAACTGCAACAAGAAATTTTTAATTGAATTGACAAACGCATCATTTGTGGCATCAGCAAAAATCAGATCAACATTGCGATAATGCCACCTTTCACCTTTTAAATAAACGAGACTCCTAGCAATAACTTCAAATTGTTGTCTAATTAAATTGATCCAAATAAATCAGTTATATATTCATTAATGGCAATTATTTAATAGACCTTCAATGATTTTCACATTTAAATATGGCGACATAAATGGGACTGAGAAATAAATATTTGGAATAATTAATATGTTTTTTATAATATAATTTTAAAGAGTAATTGAAAAACTATTTTTGAAAACTAAAAATAAAAAATACTGAAGAATTGTATGCCTGTTTATAATTTGATATATTTTCTATCAAGAAGATAAATAATAAGATTTTATATTTTAGTTTAAGTTTCCTCTGAGACAACCTCGCAGAAATATAAATACAGTTTATATAGCAGAGCTTACCTTCGAGAAGCCAATATTTGGTGTTGTTGTCTGATGATGTTGATGCAGCGTATTGTGACGCTTGAAAACTGCAAGAGAAACATGGAAAATAGAGAAATACATATAATTAATTTAATTCGGATTCAACTGTTGACCTTTTATGTCTTTTCACAGGCGCGCCCAGTTATATCCGCGCTCTAGCATCCGCCTTAAGTTGGAGGCAAATCTGTTAGAAATCTCAGTATTTTCCCATAGCTCCTTGTGTGTAATTTGTATGCATAAAAAAACTTATCGAAGCTAATTAAAAAAGTATCTGTTAATAATAGACTTGGTCTCTGACGGCGATTGTTAGATGCAATTGATTGTGCATTCATTGATTATATTCTACATACAATAAGCGACGATCTTGCATTATAAAAACAAGTGAATCACAAAAAGAAAATGTGTCATTGTCGCTGAGACAACTGCAACAGCAGCAGCAGCAGCAGCAAGAACAGCAACAATACGAAAATCAACAGCGATCACTGACTGCAATTGCAGTTAGCAGTTGCAGCTGCGCTGCAGCCAGCATCAAGATCAATTATTTTTAAAACACTACGAGATACTCCCGCACCTGGCAAAAGCCAAACAGAAACAGTCACAGCAACAACAACAGCAACAGCAGCAACAACAACAACAACAACAACAATCACTGCGGCAGCAACCGCAACTGGTAATTTCATTGAACTTGAACGGAAAGGCCATGAATGCAGTCAGATTTTTTGCAGTGTTTTAATATTG